TCCCTTCCACAACACCCCCCCGCCAGTGTAGACAGGCAGCATGTTTTTGCGCAAAAGCGGGTGCTTTTGCGCACTATCATGCCAGTGTAGACACAGCCTCAGAGTTGTCAGCGGACAGATTTTCCACTGCCCCACTACACCTTAGGTGAGCCGTGACAATATGCTAACACCTCTTCAGCACCAGAGTGCCCCCCCCCCGTGGTCAGCCGGTGATCATCTTTTGGGGTGCACTTTTATACACATGTGCAAACATCTAATGTGTCGGGTGGGCACCTTCTGTTAGCTGGTTACTGTCCTTCGTGCTGTCAACTTCGACGCGGTCCTGGCCCTGGGTCGGTATGTACATTATTTATGGGGAGTCGGTCGGGACCAAGACGTTTCTTATTGAGACGTTCTGCTACTCCCCTTTGGCTCCCCGCCTGTAGCCGTGCCTGGTACCTCCGGATGTTCTCCACGCTCCACCTCGCTTACCCAATTTTATCGTTTCTCTTCAGTCACACCTCTTTCCTGGCTGCCGTGTCACTGAACCAAAGTCTTGCGCTCTCGATCCCAGGCTTGTTGCTGTTTTTATGTTACAGGCCTTTTTTTAGGCCTGCTCATTTTATGTTTGTCATGTTCATGAGAGATGGCCAGCAGTCTGGGAAACAAGGGGTTAACTATGCCCAAGTCAGGTAGAGTCGGCCAGTAGGAACGTAGGTAGGAATTTCAAACTGCGACAAAGGAATTTTGGGGTTTTTTCCCTCCCTTTGTCCCTGGGCAGTTTGCTCTGCAGCTGGTGAGAGGAACAGACAGAATGTCTCCCTCCGAGAAGAGACTCTTCACTATCTGTAAGTAAGGTAAAGCCTAGATACATCCGTGAGGTTTTATTGTTTTATGGTTTGGGAATGGGTATCTGATGTCCGTGCATTTTTTTAAAAAGGGGGTTTGCTCTCCTTTGTAATTAAGTCCTGCCCATTGTGGGGTTCCCCCTCCCCATGCAGATATTAATTTGTGTCTTTTCCAGCTAGTCATTATACTTGCAAGAGGAATATTGTGGTGATACTAAAAGTTCTTTCTCTTTTGTGGTTAATGCCCTAGGCTGGCACCCAAGACGCCTGGTTTCATTGGGATCCAACTCCTGGTAGGTGATGGCTGGCGCTGAGCCGTCCCATCATGCCGAGCGCCTAGGCAGGGTGGGCGTGTCCATGCAAATGAGGTTCACTCCTGAAGGCCTGTTGCCTAGCGCCCCTCTAGATATTGGGGTGGCTCAGGCAGACCCTCCTCACGCTGCCGACAAGTCGGGTCTGGTCCAAACCTGACTCCTGTTAAGATGCCCCCCAGTCCTAGCGCCCTGCCTGAGAACCAGTTCAAATCGGTTTGGCACGGTTTGCTCCGGAGACCAAAACTCCGTGAACCCTGAAAGCTCTCCTCCAAGGCTCTGCCGTGTGGGGTTGCAAGGACAAAGGGGGTCCCAGCTACGGAAGGCCCCAGACCACAAATCAGATGAAGATTGAAATCACCCAGCAGGTTTATTGCCAAACAACAGGCACTCGGAGTTATTAGTGGACAGATTTGTTACTGCCCCACTACACCTTAGGTAAACTGTGACAATCTGCTAACACCCCGTAAGTGCCACGGCGCCCCCCTATGGAGAGACCAACTTTTGGGGTTCACTTTTAAACACATGTGCAAACATCTGACATCTCGGATGGCCACCTTCTGTTAGGGTGTGTCTAGACTACAGGGTTTTGTCGACAAAAGTGGACTTTTGTCGACAAAACTAGACCTGCGTCCACACTGCCTTTGAGATATGTCGACATAACATCGACAAAACTCAGCAGTTTTGTCGACGTATGTAAACCTCATTCTATGAGGAATAACGCCTTTTGTTGACAGAGTTCTGTCGAT